ACTCACCCTGTAACACCTACGACCCTCACCTGAACACCAGCCCTCCTCCATCACGCCATACTTCGCCCCAATGATTTCTCTCCAAAAACTCTCCTATCCACACCAAACTGCCACAACCATTTGTTTAATAATGTCTTATTAAATAAAGTAAACCTCCTCAATCCGAGACCCCCCATCCTCATAGGAGAGTAGACAACTCCCTGTTTAACCAATTGAAGTTTCCTCTCCTCTCTCAGCCCTGCCCAAAAAAAATTCTTTTGAATCCTCTCTAATCTGTTAGCCACTGCAGTAGGACTAGGAAACAGTAATATAAAATAAGTAGGGATATTTGATAGGGTAGATTTAATGATAGTAAGACGACCACCATTCGAGAGATACATACGCTTCCACCACGCTAATAAATGTAAACATAAGAAGTTGAATACTGGGATTTAGTTTTCTTGTCTTAATCGTATAGGAATATTTAACAAATTCTTGTTGGATGGGTTTGATGGAGTCCCTGTGGCATCTATGAAGTTATCATTTGCTGGAGACTCCTTTTTACCTGTTAGTTTGTCTTCTCATGGTCTTCATACAGTTTCTCCCATGTACGCCTTTCTTTAGATTAATTAAAAATCTGAAAGAGGTCAATTTATTTATTTATCGGACATCTGTTAGTAAGATGCATTATTTTTAATGGACTACTTTAAAAGTTCTCTTAGAGGTCGATACTACCATTGAATTTCGGGCCATGAACTGAAAGCAGAAAATACGAGTTCAAATCTTTCTATTTCGCCCGTGAACTCTACTCATAAAGCATAGTAAAATTCTTGTAGACCAGTCATTGAACTATTATGAACAGTCACGAAGTGATTTTTCTTGGTTCACTAATTCAGATCATGCCTGAAATCTCGTTTTTCTTTGTATAGAATTCTCGTTTTTCTATGTATACTTCATAACCATAGTTGCTGGAACTCTGCACCTTAGATATATGTTGTTTGAAAAAGCACATGCTTGGTGCATGGTAGGATGTTAATATGGGGTGAGCATCACCTGATTCTTGTGCTTCATGCACCAAAAAAACTACTACTCATGATTATCATTGCACAAACTCAGTGGCTATATGGATGATGGCTATTCACTTCATGTCTGATTCTATCATTTTGCGAAATGATTCTGTTTTTTTAATCTTTCAGTCATCTACAGTTACTAATAATCAGCCCGTCTTGTTGGCAGGAACCCTGGTAGCACTCCCGAGTGGCTTGGAAACGTGATAACTGCTTTATTTATTGCTGCTATCATATGTTTGACAATGGTGTATCTAATGTCTTATGTTCACATCTCAGGTACTTATTATTATTTTTATTTGGGTTTGCTGCTGCATTGACATGTTATTGGCATTTTATTTTGCTCTTCTTTAGGTATATCAACATATCAATGTCACAAGAAATCTTTTAATTTCTAATCCATGTATTACTATAAAAAAATTGTTTTAAGTCTTGTTAGTATCTACTTTGAAATAATAGGAAAATCATTTAAGAGGCATAAACTCGGTGTATCTTTATACACGCTCACATCATTCAGCCCTAAGCTTCTACCATCCTTATCCTGATGGATCTAGAGCATGAATAGTTAGTTTAAGAAGTTTACTTATAAGTAAAGTAAGTTTAAAATAAAATTTTTATATTGATCATAGGTGAAAATGAGTAAGTTATATATTTTGTCACTATGGAATAAGTGTCTATTTGTACTTAAATGGAAGAAGAAAGTAAGTTACCTAACATATTTGGGAAAAAAGCTACTTAAAAGTAACTTTTAACTTCTTCTTTTTTCAAGCTTAGCCAAACATGCTGTTAATATTATCATTTCGATCTACTGCCTATATGAGCTGTAACCACTTCATTCCTTGTTTTGTGTATAAAACTCATGATTGAGAGCTTATGAAATAGAGGATGGTTTTCAGATTTGAGTAGCATAAATTGTCAAAACTGGTGTAGCAACTTACTTTTGGAAGTACCGACTTAAATTGAACCAAATACTGAGCTGTCTTTATTTCAAATATGCAAAATATCCTCTTAAAAATGGAACGGAGTATAATTAATCTGCATCATGTCAACTCGAGTTGAGTGTAAAAAGCTTGGGCTGGCCTAGAAGTAAGAATGCGTCTAAGGTGTTATCTGTCCAACCCTTAGCATCGACCTACTTTTAACGAAACGGAAGGTTAATAACTATCTTATTGTGGTTAATTTCCAATGGGAAGAGGTCATTCCTTAGACCATACTTAGTCACCCATTTTATATTTTCATCATTCAAGAATCAGATGGCGTGGGTTTAGGTTTCTGAGATGGTTTCTTTCTTTGCACCATAAGGATTGATCCAATCAAAAGAAAAGATGTGCATTATAAATACACTGTTTGGTGGATTATGCCTCAGACTCAGAATCAGACAAATGAAGGTGATACCTTTCTAATGTATTGATCAATCCTTGACCATTTTAAACCATATATAAATGCCTGGGATCTATATATGATTTGAAATTAATATTTCACCTCGATATATTGAATCAATATTTATTCTATCCT